TAAATAAGCGAATCGTAGCTGTATCAAAATATACCCGATGTTACACCCGAAAAGCATGATATATTGATTGTTTATTAAAAATGTAATTTTACATATTTTTGCGATATTATATAATATAGATCAGTGCTTATAGTTTACGACGTTTACGTCACGTGCCTGCGTGCCTCTACTAGGGACAATAATTCTGGCATTACCGGCTGGCAGCTACTGACAGCTGACAGCCCTTTGTTGTATGTACTTGACGTTCTCGCTGCGCGAGGTCTCTCGGGTCGTCTTGGTCGACAGTCGCGTGAGATTCGTGTATGCGCCGTAGCGCTCCGCGCAGAAAGAAGCGTCCTGATTGGCGCAGAGTGAAGAGCAAGAGCGGTCGGTGGGCGACGTGGGCACGTGGCTGACGTGGCACGAGTCGTACGTGGCCGGTGGCGGCAGTCGTTGCGCGGTAGAGAAGTCTAAGAGAAGTCGTTGTATAGCTTAGGACGACTCAGGAGGAATAATAGTTATTTGTGTAACAAGTGAGGTAAGATGAAAATTCCCGCGTGCGGAGTTGACGCACGAGCCAAACGCGAGTTCGTAAGACTGCTGGCAAGTGCCATACAGACACACGACCTCAGCACCGTGATCGCTTTGCTGAGCCACTGCAAGGAGGCAGACAACATCGTCATCGTCAACTTCGTCAACAAAGACGGCGACAATCTGCTGCACTTTGCGGCTGAGACAGGGACACCGGCCATCGTGCAGGCGCTCATCGTTTTCGGCTTCGACATCGACGCGAAGAACCGGAAGGCGGAAACACCTAGACACAAAGCGAACGTCGGCACCATCGATGGCAACAAGATAATCTACGTGTTGCATGCGGTGGGCGCGCAGAGGTGCCCGCCAGAAACGGCGGGTTGTCATCACGGCTGCAAGCACGGCGAGAACTATACTGGTATTGAGCCAGAGGAACAACCACATATGGAGGAACTGCGCAAGATTCTCGACCAAATGCTTCACGATTCCGGCATGAAGAAGATGGCCGACCCTGGAAATTGTAAGCGAATCAAGGGCGGTAGGCTACTTTGTCTCGATGGTGGCGGTATTCGGGGACTGGTGCTTGTACAGATGCTGCTGGAGATCGAATCGGTGCTGCGCAAACCCGTGATGCATTGCTTCGACTGGATCGCCGGCACGTCCACCGGCGGTATCCTGGGACTCGGTCTCGCCGCTGGTAAGTCTCTACGGGAATGTCAGGCACTCTACTTTCGTATTAAGGAGAACGCCTTCGTGGGTTTGCGGCCTTACGACAGCGAATGTCTGGAGAAGGAGTTGAAGGAATGCCTCGGCGCTAATACCGTCATGGCCGACATTGAAAAACCAAAGATAATGATCACGGGCGCGCTCGCCGATCGTAAGCCCATGGATCTTCATCTATTCCGTAACTACGAGGCACCCAGCGCGATCCTGAAGTTGCCAGAGAGCTCAAAGTTCAAACCGACATTATCGCCGCGGGAGCAGTTGCTTTGGAAAGCGGCGAGAGCGACCAGTGCGGCGCCGTCGTACTTCCCAGAGTTCGGCCGTTTTCTGGATGGCGGTCTGATCGCTAATAATCCCACCCTGCACGCCATGAAGGAGATAAATGAATACAATCTGGCTCTAAAGGCTAGTAATCGCGAGAAGGAGGTGATACCACTGTCACTGGTGGTCTCCCTCGGCACAGGAATTATGCCGACAAAGCCATATACCCTGAATGAGAATTTCGAGGAGAATTCCGACAATTTCCTACCGGACAAAAAATTTGCGCGTTTTTTGGTGGGTTTCTGGAACATCGTCAAACGCATATCCAAGCGTATCAGGGCGCTTGCCATGCTGCTGATTGATCAGGTAACAGCCAGCAACGGCCATGTAGTCGATTGCGCTCGCACCTGGTGCTCCATGATCGGTGTACCGTACTATAGATTCAGTCCGCATCTATCGACGGAAGTCGCCCTGGACGCGAAGAGCGACGACATATTGGTAAACATGATGTGGACCACGAAGGCGTTCATGCACGCGAATCGAGATGTGGTGCAGGAACTGGCAACCATAATCGGGCGCGATTCCAGTTTGGAGTTCGACGAGATACCTATCCAAGCTGGGCAAGGACTGCTTATACGAAAGAGTGTCGCTGTATTCACTTCTACCTCAAGTACATCCCAATCGCGAAGTATTCAACGACAGACCGTTTCTAATAGTACAGGAAATACTGTTCGAAGTAACAACAATGAGAACACGGACTGGAGCAATTCCACACGAAGCAGAATGCCTCAAAAAGGCAGTGCCCCCAAAAGACCTAGACTTACCGGGTACGAAAATTCCGGAATAGAAGGTAAAGACTTCTCTTTTTTTTTGTTATATTTTCTCTTCCTCTATCTCTACTATTTTCTTCTCGATTTTCTTCCACTTAAAAAAAAATAGTAACATTTTTCTTGTTCACAGTTATATCTATTATATATCAAATTGTATATTTTATATTTTTTTTTTACATTTTCCACTGTTTTTTCACAGGTCACACGAAGAACAAATGTCCATCAAGTGGGCCGAACTGACAAGTGAATTTTTACAGTATTGTAAATAATGTAGACAACTTTCATACCGTATGTTATAACAGAATACTATAATAATGGTTCCTGCATGGTTTAACTGAAATCGAGAACATGCTCCAGAGTCACTCAGCTGTCAGCGAAGTGTCGTGGGCACACGTAATGATATCGTAGATGAATGTCCGCTCGCTTTTGTGTCGAAAGTTTCTGGCGCAGAGGTTCGTAATTATTTTTCGAAAAAGTACCATAATCGTCAGTTAATACTCCCTTAAACAATAAATTGTTAAAAAGATTTAGAATTTCTGATCATTTAAAATTGTATTAAAGGTGACAGTGGAGGAACTGATAAATCTAGCAGATAATTTAGAGGATTTTTTACAAGTATCTTCGTGGAATACTGGAGGATAATTACTGGACGAATTCTTGGACTTCTGCACCCGACACTGGCAAGATTGCGAGGAAACAAGTCAGAGAAATGGCAAAACATTTTGTCAGACAAATGGCCTAACATCCGATTATATGCTTGCCAAATATATGAAATAACTAACTTAATAATAATAATAATAATATATTAATATGTAATAATAATTACATGCGTCAATTAAATAATTAAAAAATTTATTACATTTTATTTTATAGTTAACATCTACATATATTAAAAAATTAATATCAAGTTGTGAAAATATAAATAAGCGAATCGTAGCTGTATCAAAATATACCCGATGTTACACC